ACAATATGCAATGTCAAAATATTTGTATCGATTATTGTAGAAAATTAGTTACGGGTTTTTATTCTTCATTAATCATTAATAATTTTTTAATTTGAAATTAAATCGAGGATTTTATCATTTGTCTGTTGATATACATCGAATAAATAGTTTTATCTCAATGTTGACTCGTCCGCATGATACAGACTGGAAAAAAAAGCGAACAATAGTATAACAAATGAGTATGAAACACTTCGGTATTCGTAAAATACAGAAATATGCAGTTCACATCAAAAAATGACAAAATATGAAAAAAATTAATTTTAAAACCATCTATATGCAACGAAAAACCGTAAAACACAGAAATATGCAGTACACATCCAAAAATTAAAAATATTCAAAAATATGTAAAGTAAAATTTTGTATTCCAGATCTATTGACTATAATTCAAACTTGTAGCTTATACAGCTACTTTTTGGACTGCAAATGCATATAAATCCGGGCCCTATAATCATTTTATATATTAACTGTGCCTTAAAAAGTCGTATATAAAAATACATCATATACATCGATTAGTCATAGAAAAATATCCAACAAAATCGTTACACATAATAATATTATTATTATAATACTATATTATCTGAAATTATTATATAATCGTATTGTATCGTTAGCAAGAAAATTTACATTTATTTGAATTTACGATATTTTGTATACAGCCCATATTGATGGACAATATTATGTTTGATAATGACAATTAATTAGTAAATAAAGGTAAAATATATGGTACCTACTACCTATACATTTAGATATGTGATCTTCAAGTGGAAATACTTCGCCATGAAAACAATTGCTTATTTTCTACCTTTATTCGTATGACATAATTGATAATTAATATTAACATGATACCCAATTCATTATTTTATTTTACATGTTTTTCTTATTAAATTTTTTTTATAAATAATTTTTGATTTTACATTTTGGCCATTAGTGCTTATTATTAACTCGGTATTTTATAATACATTAAATAATAATACACTCAGTGAAATGGTGATATGACATGGAAAATATAATTATGGTAAAAATAGTTATTTATTTACTTACCAGCTATAGAGTGATTAATATTCATGGTAAGTAGGTATTTATTGTGGTAGGTATTCATATTTATTGTATATAGTAGCTTATTCAGGGATTAAAAAGAAAATGAAAATGTTCAATTTTTCTTTCAATTTCACTTATAAATATTTATTTTGTTTTATTTAAATTTATAAAAACCATATAATTTTACAATTGTATTATTTCTTATTAATGTAACAAAATGTTGATTTAATATTGTATTATGATATAAATTCGATTTTAAGCGTATTTTTTGATTTAAAAATTAAATCATACATTATAAAGAGTTAAATTTCAGTTTCTAACTACGACAAACCTTTTTCGTTCGAGCATTCCATATTTGTCAATACGCACAGCTAGGAAACGAGAATAAGAAACCGAAATATTGGTTAGGTATTTTGTATTAGCTACATTGTTATAATTATGTATAATATTATGAAGTATCGATAGATATATCTACTTTTGTTGAATTATAAATTTAAATCATTCATTTTTTAAATTTTTTAATTGATATGGATATATAAATTATAAAACGATGAATATTTTGGTTGTAATCTATCGGTTTAAATTGTTTTCGATTTTTATTTGAAATTTGAATAGAATTTAAAAATTTCCATCACTTGATTTTTAATTATTTTTATCGATATTCAAATCGGATTTTGAAATAATTCATTTCAAAGGCAAGGCTTCAATAAACATTTTTATGATTTAAGTTAACTTGTTGTAGACGTTAACCAAAATTATTATGTATGTAAAATATTTTTTTACTATTTAGTGAAATATTTTAGAAGCAGATTAAATTATATCCATTCACACAATACTCGATGGATATGTTTTCAAAGTAAAATAGTAAAATATGTAAATAAACCGTGATATTTGACGTCGTCCGACGCACGATATCAGTTACACGAATCACCTTTAAGAACTACTATGGTCACGCTACCACGCCATAGCTTGGGTCCTCTCTATAGGCGAAAGTCGCCACAGTATAAAAGGATGAATTGATGCTTCGTTCCGGCATAACGCAATTTTTGTGCAAATATAATATTCTGTGAGTATTTAGTTGACGATAAACGACATTTCTTTGATCTTCATATTATTTAAAATTTTAGTGTTTTATTTTTTAAATTTTATTTATTTTTTGTCTTCTTGCAGTTTTCACTATACTCCTCAAAAAACCAACCAAAAACCAAAAATGGGAGCTGAAAAAGTAACCATGAACATCATCGTCGTCGGACAAGTCCAATCTGCCAAGTCCGTCAAATCTGTGGCCAAAGCCACCAACACCACCAGCCAAATGATGGTGAGTTAACAATTCTGTGAGGATTTTTAATTTCGAATAATAGCGGGATCGTATTTTTTTCACTGTGGCAATATTTCCAATATTGTGATTGTGTTTCAATTTTATCTTATTGTTGTGCACATGCGTTAACCGGTATATTTATTTAATTTTTCACAGGGTATGTAAACTAAATCAAATATTCAATATTCATTTTTATATCACGCATATTTAAACATATTATACATTCTTTTTTATTATAACTAAATAATTAGAGATTAAATAATTTTCTTCAATATTTTATCATTACATCAAATTGAATTATTATTTGTTTTAGTAAATGCATTTAAATACTTATAGTATTACTTAAAACTTTTTTTAATTAAGTATTAGGAAGTATTTTAATGGTTCCATGTCATAATATCTTCGAAATAATATCTTCGGTCAAAATATCTTGATCAAAATATCTTTTGTGAAAATATCTTATGACAAATATGTATTCGGTTAAAATATCTTTTAAACTGATTTTTTCAAAATGTTTATTCATATTATTTATTTATTTAATTTTTATAAATATATCGTGTACCTACAACATTATTTATAATAATTGTTTAATAATATAGTGTTAGCAATTAGTATGATCCTTATAAAAATATTATTGTAAAAAAAAACATAGAAAAAATTATAGTTGAAAAATTACTATAAAAAACTATTTGTAATTAAATAAATAAATAAAATAATATGAAATATATAAATACCACTTGTAACACTTTGCTTAAAGCCGGAGGTCTTCCGACGTATATTTGAGTATATAGAGATTAATTGATTACATGAATATAAATTTAAAAAATAGCTTAAAAAATATGCTGACTTAAGACATTTTTGCCGTAAGATATTTTGCCACAAGATATTTTGACTAAAGATATTATTTCGAAGATATTTTGACCGGTCACCATTTTAATACAGTATTCGAATAACTATAGGTATTTGAAAATCAAATAATTTTTTGTAAATACTTTTAAAAATTCAATAGAATTATTTGTTGCAGTTCAATTTGTTATTTGATGATTAATATATTATTTAGTTCTACCAAGATTTTATACTATTATACTTTAGTATATTATATTAATTGACTATTTTTTGTTTTGTTCCAGAACTGTTAATTCAAGTCCACATCAACCTCAAACTTAAAAATGCCATAGCCCAAACAGTACATAATTTTATAATTTGTTTTTAATTATATAATAATGTGTATTGACTATTGACATTGCAAAATAAATCTACTTTTCTGTTGCTAAAATTGTTTGTATTTCACTTACCTACTCTAAATATGTAACCATTGTCTACCGACTTCGTTAAAGTTAAATGATATTGTTTAATATTTATTTGTGCCATTCTGAGTTATGACATTATGACAAAAATAAAATTGTGTGCAGTCATTTTTATACGTTTTGTAATAGTTTATAATATTGGTGCATGGATATTTGTATCGTTTAACAACAATATGTAAAAAAATCCTTCTTAATCTATACATTTTCAGCACTACCTACTTACTATGGTTTTGATATGGTATTTGACACTATTTGTAATCATTTTCAGTGCATTGAATAAAATATTTAGGGTTGAGTAACTTCATAGAATTTTCATGAAATATTTAATTTCTATAAAAAATAAAAAATAATGTTTATTATACCTAAAAGTTTATTGTCATCGATTTGCAAATAAATATTTTTAAAAGTTATTTAATTTTATGAAAGGAAGACAATATTTAACATTAATCATGATTAAAATATGATGTAGAAGTAGTTTAACAATTAGCATAGCCTTTTAATTCTTAAGTTACATACTTACATACACATAAGCACATCATAACATATTGTAAAGCTCATATAAAAAAAATGTTTGATGTTTTATTTATTACTTATTAATTAGCTTGCTAAATATTGTTAATTCTTTCATAATTATTTAAAACTATACCATAGGTATATTTATACAACTATAAATTATAGTAGTGTAAAATGTTATAACTTTATAAGCTTATAATTGTATAAATAAGTAATAAGTACATAACAATATGATTTTTGATTTGAAATTACCTATAGGTTTCTAGATTTATGAATTGTGAGACAATTAAAACCAATACACCATATTAAATACTTAAATAGACATATAGTTAGGTATACTACTTATACAGTTTGTAACTTAATTTATAACCATTAACATAACATTATCGTAATTCGTAGACCTTTGTTGATAGCTGATTAGTAAGTTATTCATTATCAATGTTTTCTGTGCATAAACAAAATATTATTTATAATCGTCTATAATGTATTTACCGAATATATTGCAAAGAAGAAAAAATATTTTTCATCAAAATTTTTGATCATGAATTCCATTGATACAAATAAACAAAAATTATATCAATATATTTTTTTATTGTTGGATATCACATGCTATCAAATACTTGACATTTTTAATGTTCCTCACTTTGTATAAAAAGGTCGGTAAACCCTAAGTGTTTTATTGCCGATGCTTCCTGTTTGTCTTCATTATTACTGTGTATAAGAAGTTTTCCTAGTTTTTCTAATCTGATATAATATTTTCTATAGCCATTTGTACATTTAAAATTATGGAGATCTGGTGTAAATCCACGACCGAAATTATGCTACCGGTTGTCGACCATAACCGGGAAAATAAACAGGAACCGTCGGAAAGAGGTGATTTTAATAGTTTGCCGTGGAATATAAGGTTTATGTCATTACCCAATATGACCGTGGGCGCAAATGCTCCCGAGGTTGGATTGCCGTCAGTTACGTCCGCGGAGCTGCCTGCAGTTTCAGCCAATTCACAGTGTGTCGGATTGTCTATTACCACATTTATAATACCAGCTGCGCCTGCAGAAGATGACGGGATCGAGACGTCGTTATCGCTCGGCGTGCGGCTTGTGGTAACCGCGAATAAGGTAACCCGCGTCGTCAGTAGTGATGAGGGGACGGAACCGGCGGTAACCGCAGTTACACCAAGACGTGTGGAGCCGGAACAAGAAACTCCTCAGGCTAATGTTCTGATGTGGTGCGATTGACCACTCAAACGTATAGATTAGTTTATATTATGATTTAATTATAGTATTTGGACACCGGATTTGAGACGTCCACTCCCCCCCGCTGTTAATGCGTTCGTATCGAGTTCGTAGTAGGTAATAAGATTCATTAAACTTTGCACCTTACCACATTTGTATCTGGCCGGTCAAACCACCTGAATTCGTTTACATCCGCCACGTCTAGCATTTGTACCGAGTTAGGGCAAGTTTGGAGCTCATATTTAATTATTTACTGTGCAGTCGTCGGCTATTGTCAGCGAGTTTTGTTTTTCCGCGTCGCAGTTGTCTTGTTTTCGCGCATTTAGCTTATCAGTCGTGTATGTACGTGTACATATACATATACGTATATACGTGCTGTATAACATTCACTCTGCTTTTTCACCGTAATGATGTACTCAACCTCGCTATATCACTCCGCTCCCGTTGACATCGCTCAGTTTGTGATAATCACCGATATAATATATTAGTGGTTACTGCTGTCTGCTGCCCTCCGCCGGCAATTTTTCACCAATAACGATATGAGTTGAAGTTAGTGTAATCTAACTCTAACCCCGAACAGGGGAAATGTTTTGTAAAAAATGTATATACCTATCTAAATATTATAAACTACAGTATATATGGCTATGCTAGTGTACCTAACAATGTATATTATGTAAAGTGTCTATGTAAATTGTACCTATATATAAATTTTATATTATGTAAATTAACTTGAATAAAATTGTGTGTTATATGCAGTCCTGTAAAGCATTTGAGTAAAAGTATTCAAATACTTTTTTAAGTATTGAATAACTTTTTAAATACTTTCAGTATGAAGTATTTTGAATGGTATTTTAAATACTTTTTGGTATTGAATACTTTGGTTTTTTATTTCGAACATTTTATTTTTATTCGAAATAATTTTAGAAATTTTAGAATGAATTAAGAACACAAAATAGGTAGTATCACCAATGGGTGGTTTCTTCCCTCAAAAAAAAAATCATACGCAAATACCCTATGCACATTTGCTTATTGTTCTAGTTAAGAACAGATTGTAAATTTCATGTAAAAATAAAAAAAAAAATGTAATAAATATTTATTTAATAAATAATAAATAAAAATGATTATAATTTTACTACCTATGTGTCTATATTACAATAATTAGAAACCCACTTTAAAAACCAAAAGTATTTGAAAAGTATTCCAAATACTTTTTCAAAGTATTTGAGTAGTATTTGAAATACTATACAATTAAAGTATTTGAGTAGTATCTTAAATACTTAAAAAAAAATGTATTTGAGTACTTACTCAAGTACTTTTCAAAAGTATTCTTTACAGGACTGGTTATATGTTATATAATATTTGGTTTTAATTTGATAATATTATTAATAAATATGTCAACTGGTTTGGGTAAAATGAATAATGCGGCTTGTGGAAATTCGAAAAACATCGATATTAAATATAATTTTTTTATTACCTTATTAAAATATATACATTTTTTTTTTATTATAACTAAACAATTAGACTTAAGTTCAAACACTCATAAAAATTTAATTTGACTTTCTTGTAGACTATTTTTTTGACAAAGGTAGATAAACTTATGAGGAATCTTGTATTACCTACATTTTCAAATGTTATGTTTAAAAAGAAAACATTTTATGAATTTCTAACAAAAATTAATTTGCACATTTACGTGATTTTCACGTGTTTTGTAAAGATTTGAACTTTAAATGCTTATAAAAAAAAAATTGTGAATATGTACTTTAAATATTTTCAAATGTGATTGTAACAATATATTAAGAACCTTGCATTAAATTTTCAAGCTCTCAAAAAAATAATGTAAATTATTTAATCAGGTAAAAACCCTAACCGAACTAAAATCCTGCGTAGGTACGCTACTGCAGATGAAAATTATCTGAAATGATGCTCTAAAAAAATTAAGAGAAACTAGCAAAGAAACTCCATCCCCTATGGCCCTATTCCTCTGAGCTTTCTGCCACTAATGAACACTAATAATAATAAAAAAAATGGAAAACCGAAAATATAAAATAATATTCAAACCATAGGGTGCTGGGTGGACACATGGCAGACGGGCGACACAAGTCATAATAGACTTGTAAATTTGTAATGGTATTAATATTTATTTTTATATGATAATTTAAATATATATATATACAATAAGCTGGGAAATGTTCATTGTTAATAAATATTAATTAATAGTTAGTGCGAATAATGAATCAGAAAAAATGGATCTCACCCAAGTCATGCCTATTGTCGTGATGATTTCACGTATATATTTCCGCATCAATTCGTGACATAAGACATTATATTAATGCTATATGCCTATATGCCTATATGATATAATAATATATCGTATTAAATACCTGCGTATAGGTAATTAGTTATTTTGACACGAACAATAGTACAGATTGATTGGCACGATGAAACAATACCTACGTATGAAACAAATGAATAAATTATAATATAATTAGTTCACAATATAATATACATAGTATTACCTACATTGGCATATCGCATATATTGCTGTAAAGGAATTTTGTGTCATTTTGCATTGTCCAGCAAATAGAAAAAGATTTTAATAAATCGGGATAATCGAAGGCATTGAAACGGAATTTGCAAGTTTCATATTCAAAAGAAAATCATAAATAATAATTTCACACTTAAAATTCAAAAAACAAAATAACAAGACACCTAACTTGACTTAATGTCTTGATCGATATACTCAATCTAGTCTTATAATATGCAGACGATGGATCACAAAAAAAATGTGACACGTAATTTCAAAAATATATCAATTACTATATTTATATTTCAATTACTACTAAATAATATCAATTACTGACTCACAACTAAATAGTACATATTTTCTTAACCTATCCTATCCTAGTACCTACCAACATTCACCTTAATAATACGCCTTTATTGTGTATTTGGTGCCTTTATTTATATCTATTAAATATTAACTATAGACATTATAGTGTGATCATATTTTGTTCTAAATTTCATTCAACTTTAAACTTCAGAAATCCTTTAATGGTTCTTCAAACAGTATTTATCTGTTACCACTGCTATTTCCATTAAATTTTCTAAAACATAAAAACTTGGAATTATGTACCTGCAGTACCTATTCTTATTTATAAATAATCAATATTTCATATTGTATAACATACAATTAAAATAAGTCCATTGGCAACAAGTTAGGTAGATTCCGAACATTAAGCAATCAATATAGTTAAAAATAAGAGCTTGCCTAAAGTTAAAATCATTGGTAATTTTCTCAAAAACCTAACAAGACATTTTAAAAAACTTTTCGTATGTTTGTTAAATTTGAACTCAATAAATCTGCGTTCTTAATAATAGGCTTTTTACAGCCGAGAAGTGTTTACAAAAAAAAAAAAACTGTATGGATGGTATTAAATTTTAAATTCAATGATAAAATATCATTGTATAAGAAAAATGATTTTAAGCGGAGACGGTATGTCAGTCTAGGTATAAGACATATTATATACTTACCTATGGTATTAAAAAAAAAATTTACCTATAATAACTTCCAAATTAATCATATCACAATATCCATTAAGTACCTCTACTTATAACGCGTATAAATCAATAACAAACCGTGATACTATCATAGATATATAGTAGTATAGGTACTTTAGAAGTTTCAAGTATCCACGAATAATATAATACAATCACATCCTTCACAACAAAATAACTAAAAAAGTTATTCTATGTTTTTTAATTCTCTTCGCCGCCTAAAAAGACGCTTTTGTCGTGATCTTTTATGATAAAAAAAAAAATCAATAAATTATGTTTAATTTAAATCTGAAGGGTTCTTCATTGGATGGCCTCCCTTATTCTGTCATTCTGTTATTATATTATATTGTTTTGTTGTACATATTATTATCACATTTGCTTATTGTGATTTATTAATACAGATTTACCTAAATTTTCTAAAATAAAAAAAAAACAAAAAAAGGTTTTTCAATATTATGTAATTTCGTCCAAATTTGAACTTAAAATGGCTATAAAAATAAACTGTGCTTATGTATTTTTTTAGATTTTTTTGGTAACAGAATTAACTACTTACATGGAATCTTGTTTTAAATATTCAATCCTTAGATATAAAAGTTGAACATTTTATAAATATTTTTAACTACAAAATAATTATTCAATTTTAAATTTGATAAATTTTGTCAAAATTCAATCTTTAAATGCTTATAAAAAAAATTGTGCTTATGTATTTTTAATATTTTTCAACTGCTATTGTAACAATATATCAGGAACCTTGTGTTAAATTTTTACAGTTTTTGGCCTAACAGATAAAACATATCATTGTAAAATCAATACATTCATCGTTCCACTCAGAATCTAAAATGACCATTACCTTGACGAAATGCAATGATAAGGTCCTCTTTTATAGTCACTTGCAAGCTTGGCATCTATATCATAAATTAATAAAAGTATATAATGATAATACTATAGTATGCTATATTATATTATATTCCTAACCATAATAGTTTGTGACATGACATATTTATGGCGCACAATAAACCACAAATTTTTATCTTGCTTGATAATCAGTATTTGGTTTAAGATAAATCTAATATAAAATTAATAAAATATTAAGTTAATATTATACCTTATATTTATATTATATATTATTATGAATAATTATAGTGATATAACAAAGGTCTAATATTATGTCACGGTCTTCAAAACTGTGTCCCCTTTATGATACAATGCTTCGACCATTTATTATATTAGCCATGATACCCGCATGTGTTGTCTCCGTCTTACAAATGCATAACATAGCAAAATGTATAGTTAGAGCGAAATGAATTGTTTTATTATCAATTTTTCAAGTAAGAATAATATTATATAGTGAATTTCATAGGTTTTTTTTTTATATTTTAAATTTAAAGCGAGTTATGAGCATTTGAAAATGTTAAATAACATAGTCGAATGGATTATTCAGAATGTACGTTTTTTTTATATTAAGTGTTTGGAGACACGCATGCATGTGTAGGGTCCTCTAAACTTTAAATTATAATTAATTTAACATTGATTTTAAATAAAATTTGAAGTTGGTAAAATTTAAAATCATAACTAAAACTTTAAAGTTATATAGGTACATGTAAACCCACAAATATATATAACTAAACTAGACAGCCATCTTACGATTATCAACATGGATAATAATATATTCATGAATCGGACCATAGATCTTATACTAAGTAGTAAGTACAAAGTAAATTAATTGTGTCAACTGGCAATTATTTTGTACCATCATCTTCAGAATCCTCTTGTTTTGTTTTGAAATATTGATACATTTTAATTTTTCTGCCAATGTTCAGTTTTGTTGTTGAACCTTTTTCAGTTTCTTTCTGGCGGCCATGTACTTTTGTTTGGAGAATGCTAGATGTATCTTAGCTCTATTTGAGGTAGAAAAATGTTCAACGGTTAAATCATTAAAATGCTTAGGATACTTTGGTGACAATTTTCTTTTTTTTGATGTTTGTGTTGGTGATATATTGCAATACATAGTATACAAAACATATTTAAAAAATATATATATTTGTTAGTATAGTTACGAGGTACGTACTTAGCAGTGGCGTTAACTGGGGCACACGGGGTCGTACTTGCGACCCCTGAAAATATCATAAGGTCGCCAAGGTATCGTTTTGCGACTCCAAAAAATCACGATTTCAGTTTTAATAAAATTAAAATATCAATATAATAATGAATTAACCAATTTATATTTTGAGAACCAATGTTTCACTTTGTTTTGAAGCACTGGAGTTATTATAATAGTAGGTATATCCTTCCACATTTGTTTATAGTTTTGTTATTATACTATTGTTATTTGTTTGTTTTATACATGCATTTATTTTTGACGCTTGTAATTTATTTCTTATCCACGAACGATTCAAAATTAAAAGTGTTTCGACAGCTTGCTAAAATGGATAAATTTATTGTATAAATATCGAAAAAGTCCAAAGTAAGTGTCTATTTTTTCTTTAAATTCTTATAATTGTTTAGTACACATATTTAGAATACATTAAGTTCAAAATAGCCCTTAAAATATATTACTGATTTATATTTTATTAAAACTAAAATTTTGACAAAATAAAATAATTTATTTTTGATCTGTAAGTTAATTTTTAAATTAATTATGAAGGTAATATTGTATTATTGAGAAAATTAAATATATTTTGGTATACATTTTTCGTATTATTTTGGTACTAATTGTTGCACCTGCTTATTAGAAAAATACTAATACAAATGCTGAGAAAAATGTTAGCTTATCTGAAAAAATCTCCATTTCCTAAGAAAAAGATCAAAAATGGTAAATAAATATAGTGAATAATTAATTTCATATCATATATTTAGTATTCATATTTCATATACAATTTATTGAAATTATATTTATATTAATTTAATATAATAAAATATTTAAGAATATTTTGTTAAATACTTCTTCCTTAATTCAAAGTGAAAATTTTGTAATTAGTTAGCAGTTACCTACGTTAAATAAATAATACTAAATGTTTTGGTTAATTTGTGTAATATAAAAGTGATAAATATGTATTTAAACATACAAATACATATACAAATAGTACATATTATAAAAATGTAAATGGCAGCTTTTATTTGAAATATAAATTTTATAAAATAAAAGAATTGTTGTATTTTATGTATTCATATATTCTTTAAGAAAATTATACATATTTTATCGACAATAGTCAGTAAGTAATTATTACTCTATTAATTATAGTGCATATTCATAATATTATATACCAATTACCAATAGATAAAATATGGCAATATGTGTTTAAGCAGCCTTTAAGGGTAAAATAGTTTTATTGAGTTTATGTACTTTTAATGTTAAATATAGAATAAAATAAAAGATTTTAGGGGGAGGCTAGGCCCCCAAATGTCTTTCTAACCCAGAAACTTATTGCAACCCTTACAATTTAGCCCAATTTACGCCACTGGTGCCTAGTGATCAAACTAGTAGAGGTATCAGACCTTTGAGGTGAGTCAGTTTCACTTGGTTTGGAATTATTATTTGTACTGATATCACTAAACATGAGTGTATAATAATTTACAATAAGATAACTATAAATCTATATAAAAAGGTAGGTGTATAGACATAAAATTCTACGTACTTTTGGCCTGTATTTTCAGAATTTGGATGGAGATTTGTACCTAGTTGTATACTAGGAACAACAGAGTGCTTTAGGTGACCATTTTCGTTAATATCTTCAGGTAAAAAGTGACAACCACACACTTTGTAATATACAAGATGTTTTGTAACTGAATAAATTTTCATCCATTCGCTTTTTAAAACTTTATCGCGTGGAAATCTATAATACATACATTGGATATTATATTAATAAGTCTCACACACAATACAGTATACACTCGATGATTTTTAAACGTTAAACCTACAACTACAACCATCCTATACATAGAATGCTTCACCTATACAACTCCCTTCAACCTTGTTATTTCATTTATTATGTTACTAAACACTTTATCAACCTCCTCAGTTTATTTGCCACATAAGCAAAAAAGGTCGGATTATCAGAATATACAGAAACATATGAAAACAAAATTTTTATCAAATTAATCTATCAGAAAATACAGAAAAATTATATTTACTTTTTAAAATTGTTTTTCCCCCAATATAGCGGTAATAAATAAAAATAAATAAAGTTAAGTGGCAATTCATTTTATATAATATCTACTATAAATTTGAAAAATATTATTGTCAAATCAACTGAGTGGTGTTCTACAATAAGTTATATTACTTATATATATAAATAGTCGCTGCAGTTTTTTAAAAAAAAAACTATTCCAGGCACAAAAATTAGTCCCACTCTATACCATCTGGAAAAAACACTGTCTGACTTAGGTATCATTTCATTAGTGTATTGAATTGAAGACTAGCTGTTGTATTCAGTATCTAATTAAAAAAGTAAGGTACCAATGTTCTTACTCTGGGATACACATAATACATTTATTTTTCATTTTTCAATATCATGTAAAAATGTTTAAATAACAAACAAAATGTATTTGGTTAAAAACTTTGTTTTTAATTTTTTTAAATAACAAATAAGAAAAAAATAACTATTCCCAAATGCGAATAGCCAAAGTGTATACTGTATTACAAAGAGGACAACGCTTATAGAATAGCTGGTTGACACATTCTTCACAAAGCACTTTGTGACCACAAGGCACAAGTGCATGTGTTCGTGTATTATCTCTACACACTACACAAACTGAATCATCATACAAGCCAATTTCCGGATTGTAACGATCCACTTGGACATATGGAATATCCTCAGCCTCAGGTTGATTCCTACCTAAAATCCTACCTAACACTTCCCACCACCTTGCTACAACCAAGTCTTCCGGAACAAAAAAGTCACGTTCATCCCCTAGTATAGAATTCAAAAGATATATCAGAGTATCAAAAATATAGCAATTTAAATAATGTATAAATGTTATTATTTGTCTTACAGTCATGTTCTTCTGGCTCACGGTTTTCATCTATAGCTCTGTTAGGAAGCTCTTGAAGTTGTAAATGTATTGATTAAAATATCAGATAATGAGATATAAAAAACACAACAAATAATTATTGAACATTGAATTAAAATATTAATAATTAAGAATAAAAATAAAATTTATGGGTGTTATATTTCCTTATTATTAACAGTAGACATATAATTAGAATAACTAGGTATATGATTTTATTATATTCTAAATTATTATCTTTGGTGTAAGAGATTTTTTGTGTGTTCATTATAAGTAGAGGTCGGAATTCAATTTATATTCTCTTAATATCCTTATAAAATGCTAGTTTATAAAATGAATATTACTAGTATGATGTTTTAAAATACAGAATATTCTTTAAAAAAAAAATAGTAATTTACCTACATATTTAATTTATTAGTTACTTAGTTTGTACAGATAAAACTTTTTTTTATTTTCTATACCTCTATAAATATTAAATACCATATTATATAATTATTAATTATATATAAAATGTAATTAGTGGAAATGATTTTAATATTCTGATGTACCTACATAAAAATAATAATCATAATATTATTATTTTCTTCATAAAAATATTTACAAACATTTCAATATTGAGTTATAATCTCAAATAATCTATAGAATAGGTATTGAATATGAATATAATATTATTATCTAACCCCTAAATTATGTATTATTTTTATGCAAAATACCTTTTTTTTTCTATGTCTCATTAATTATAAAGATATCTTACTCATATCTAACTACATAGTAAAAATGAATATGTAAAATCATAAAAATCCTAACGCTAATTATACAATATTGTAAGGTGACACAGGGCAGGGGTACCAATCAATATATTAGTATATTTTTAGTTTACCTATGTTTTCATCATTGGGTGGAACCTGCTCTACTGGCATTAATGGCAACGGCATAGGTAAGACAATGTTCTCATCTTCAGAAGAGATATCCAATGCATTATTATCTATATAATAAAAATTTAAAATAATCAAATAAATTACTGGTAACTACAAATTCATAATGTCTTTAGTTTACCTATGTTTTCATCATTGGGTGGAACCTGCTCTACTGGCATTAATGGCAACGGCATAGGTAAGACAATGTTCTCATATTCAGAAGAGATATCCACTGCATTATTATCTATATAATAAAAATTTAAAATAATCAAATAAATTACTGGTAACTACAAATTCATAATGTCTTTAGTTTACCTATGTTTTCTTCATTGGGTGGAACCTGCTCTACTGGCATTAATGGCAACGGCATAGGTGAGACAATGTTCTCAACTTCAGAAGAAGGTTCACCATCCACCATCACCATCATCCCATCATGGGAGCCCACCATCTGAAAAAATCTTCATTTCCCAAGAAAAAGATCAAAAATGGTAAATAAATATAGTGAATAATTATTTTCATATCATATATTTAGTATTCATATTTCATATACAATTTATTGAAATTATATTTATATTAATTTAATATCATAAAATATTTAAGAATATTTTGTTAAATACTTCTTCGTTAATTCAAAGTGAAAATTCTGTAACTAGTTAGCAGTTACCTACGTTAAATAAATAATACTAAATGTTTTGGTTTATTTATGTAATATAAAAGTGATAAATATGTATTTAAACATACAAATACATATACAAATAGTACATATTATAAAAATGTAAATGGCAGCTTTCATTTGAAATATAAATTTTATAAAATAAAAGAATTGTTGTATTTTATGTATTCATATATTCTTTAAGAAAATTATACATATTTTATCGACAGTAGTCAGTGAGTAATTATTACCCTATTAATTATAGTGCATATTCATAATATTATATACCAATTACCGCCAATTACCAATAGATACAATATGACAATATGTGTTTAAGCAGCCTTTAAGGTTAAAATAGTTGTATTGAGTTTATGTACTTGTAATTTTAAATGTAGAATAAAATAAAACATTTTAGGGGGGGCCTAGGCCCCCAAATGTCTTTCTAACCCAGAAACTTATTGCAACCCTAACAATTTAGCTAAATTTACGCCACTGGTACCTAGTGATCAAACTAGGTAGTAGAGGTATCAGACCTTTGAGGTGAGTCAGTTTCAATTGGTTTAGAATTATTATTTGTACTGATAACACTAAACATGAGTGTATAATAACTTACAATAAGATAACTATAAATCTATATAAAAAGGTAGGTGTATAGACATAAAATTCAAGACATAAAAAGACATACAATTCTACGTACTCTTGGCTTGTACTTTCAGAATTTGGATGGAGATTTGTACCTAGTTGTATGCTAGGAGTTTATGTACTTTTAATTTTAAATGTAGAATAAAATAAAACATTTTAGGGGGGGCCTAGGCCCCCAAATGTCTTTCTATCCCAGAAACTTATTGCAACCCTAAAAATTTAGCCCAATTTACGCCACTGGTACCTAGTGATCAAACTAGTAGAGGTATCAGACCTTTGAGGTGAGTCAGTTTCATTTGGTTTAGAATTATTATTTGTACTGATATGAGTGTATAATAATTTACAATAAGATAACTATAAATCTATATAAAAAGGTAGGTGTATACTGTATAGACATAAAATTCTTCGTACTCTTGGCTTGTACTTTCAATACTTTAACACACTTAAATTTTTCATCAACTGTAGTAAGCAAGTTACTACGTAACAATTAAACCAATTGCACAGGTGAATATTTAACATAATATAGTGTAGATCGGCATAAATCGGTTATTTCCTCCTGTGTTTGACATAAGGAAACAAGCTCACTGAATAATACAATGACTCAGGCGAAAGGAAGTTGATAGAATAATTATTAATGATTAATGAAAGGTTAATTTGTTGTGTTTAAAAGTAAATGGTTAAAGCGCGTACCTAAGTTGGAATATTAAATCATTTAGAGAAACAAATAGGTAATAAGAAAAATAAGGGATAGGAAGTAGAATATTATTAGGGATTTACCGGAGATTGTTTTAATAATATTCGAGCGTAATACAAGCGCGTACGCATGAAACATCGCGGAACAGGGCGAGTGGAACGGGTGAGGGGATAAACCGTATCGAAATTTAACACGCGTAGCATAGGCGATTGAACGTTTTACGTGTTATTAGATAGGTACTCATCCATTTTCGACGTACAACGCGCGTTTACGCAATTTATTTTATGAATAATTATATTATGTGCATGTTGTTTATTTTATAAGTAATTACTAACCTAACCTAACTTCTGGTCGATGGAGGGAATTAAATTGTACAGAAGTCCGATTTCCGAAGATTCGTGAATGCTGCTCCACGATTTAAGAGGTAACACGCCAACACGGGAGTTTTATTGTCTCCGGTGTTATATAGCAAAAATGTACTCTCTGCGCAGTTTTATTCGAAAATAGTATATACATACATATACGATTCCAGAGGTTCTACTCTTGGCCAATACAAACGATTTCAGAGTTGTAACTACTGTCAAGGACTACTAGGAATCGTTTTTTTTAATTTCTTATTAATTAAAATTAATTTCTTTTATTATTATGGCATAATAAACATATTAATATTTAAAATTAAACTACTGGAATAATTGCAAAAAAGCAAAAAAAAATAGATTTATTTAAGAACAGAATGACATGAAACTTACCGATATAATTTAATGTTTGATGCCTTTGCATAAACTACACCACAATTTGGAACCGCACATTTAGACACCATATTTGCTTTTAAAAAAAACTGGATATATGAAGTAACCATAATCATATAAATAATTATAACATTCAAAATCATTTAATTTAAACTAAAAACTGTACATACATACTAAAAAACT